CAATCCTACTTCCGTAGTGATACTGCCTCGGAAACCCAAGGAGGGGTCGCTATGAGTCGGGACCGACTCGACAGCAAATAACAACAACAACAACAGCCAGGGACTGCACGCAGGACTGTGCACGGTGGCTGGGGAACAAACGGAGAAGGTGAAGAGAAAGGTTGGCTGAGCTGTGGACTTTTGCCAGTCTGGAGGGCGCCGCCGTTTTGAAGGTTAAAAAGCGGCTTGACTATCTTGGATATTTAAAGAGCCAGCGCTCTCGCAGATTCCTGGGGCTTAAGAACACGTTCTGCTTTCCAGCAACCCCAAGGACACTCGGGACCTGCAAGATTGACAAGGTACGATATTCCTCGTTATTCTTGGTGAACGATGCGGCCATCCTCCACTCCCACCTACCTTCTGAGCCCACAGGAACTCCATCACAGTCTGTGTGCTCAGACGGAGCCTGGGTGCCCTGCCCTGTCCTCCACCAACTTTTTTTTCTCTTTTTTATTTTTCTCTTTTTCACTTTCTTTTTCTGATGATTAGTTTGCTTGTATTTGTCTGTTTTAAAACAACTAATATTATTAATATTTTTTTCCTTTTTATTATTATTCTTAATCTTCCCCTACCAGGTCCTAGTTTTCAGCATTTTTTCTTTTCCCTGTGTCTAGTTGAATTTTTTTTTTTTTTTTTTAATTTAAGGTGGTTTGTTTTTTTTTCCTTTCTCCCTTTTTTCTTGTGGTTTGCCCTGTTCCTTCATTTTCTTTTTGCATTTATCCCATATTTTTTTTTCATGTATTATTCTCCTTCTCTACTTTTTTTTTCTTAGTGCCCTACCCCAGATACTGCAGGTTTTCTTGTTTTTTCTTCTTTTTTTCCTTTTTTCTTTTTTTGGTTACTGTTTCTGTGTGATTACATGGTGCGTTTTTCGTCCATGGGCTTCTAGTTTTTTGATGGTTATTCAATTATAACTTGTGTCTAATTGAGTGGGAGACAACAACAATCCCCATAAGACACAACTATACCCACACCTCCTGCAACTTCATGTACTGAGCGAGAGGCACTACCTCCTTCTCTACCAACAGGCCAACGATAAAAAACCACCAAGAAGAGCCTGAATCACCCTTGGCTGCTCTTCACAAACAGTTAACAGAGATCTAACACAACAATGCCACGATGCCTCGGAAACAACAGACCATCACGGTCCACACAAGGAAGCAAGATGAAGTGGTAGAAACAAGGACGCAGGATACAGACCTAGAACACATCCCTGAGGAAGAAGCAGCATTGGAACTCTCTGATAAGGAATTCAAAAGAATTATCTTTAGGTATCTTCAAAGGATTGAGAGACAG